CTGGTAACTGAAGAGGTTTACTATCCGGCTCTGGAACTCACTTTAGCCATGTATGTTACCTGAAGTCATATTTAATTTAATACTGAACATCACAGTTTGTTTTACAACATGATGTATAATCTTTTACAACTATATGTAATTTAAAGGGTTTTTACCCAGATATTTTGGTGGCTCAGGCATTATAACCTAGCAATTTAAAATTTAAACCTGATGATGGACTGTTTGGTAGGAAAACGTTTGTTTTTTTGATGTAGCCCTTTTAAGGGTTTTTTAAATAAATGTACCCATTTAAGAAGACTAACCTCTTTTTTGTGATACGTGGTATACAGCCAGCTACAGGAATTGTTTTTCCTTGTGGATTTTGATAATTAAAAAACTAATTATTAATAATTTCGTATGTATTTATCATACGTTTAACCGCAAATTGGGACGTCTAAAGGTCGATTCAAACACATCAGTCACGTCTCGTCACAGTCCCGGCGTCGAACCGAACAATCCGTCATACAAAATATTCTATAATAGAAATATGTCGCCGGCATTCACATTCATCAGTTGACGAACAGTTTCCCAGCTGTCAGGTTTCGACACGTCAATCGCCCGGCCGATTTTATATTTTCAGCGACGAATTTTTTGGTTTTGCTGGGAACATGATAGGCGGTACAAGTGAACAAAATAAAATTATTAAAGAACAATTAATATAATGTTTGAGAAAATATATCCTAAAATATTAATATAAATTTTACATCATCATGAAGCAGTTCTTCATACAGTGTCACGTATTCTCCTTCGGATCCCTTTTTTTCTATGCGTCATGGATCCATTTTCGTCTTTTGGCTTGGTTTGCTTCCACTTCTTCTTCTTCATCGTTCAAACATATAAGCAATTATTGTTAATTCTTCATCCGAGAAACTTTCCATCTTTTTAACAGATTGGTCGCCGAAGACTGATGCATTTCGGGTGTGTGCGAATAGACGAACGAATAATTCTGTGACCAGACGGGACCGGTTCGGCGCCGGGACTGTGACGTGACTGATGTGTTTGAATCGACCTTAAAACTGTCAGATGAAGGCGATAGGTGTCGCGTCAGTCACGCACGGAGCGAATAAAACACACGTAAATATTTTTCTAAACTCAATGCTTTTTTGCAAGTGTATTCGCATGCAAAAAAAGCCTCTCGAGTAAACATTAAATGAGAAGTGAAAAATTAAAGGAATATCTGTCACTAAAAGATTCGATTCGTAATGATTGTCAAAATTTAATAAAAGTCATAGATGTCATCCGATTAATAGCAACATTGAATCAACTGTTTAATTTTTTATAATAATTATCGTTTTAAAATAATTTCATATAAATACAATTATTATTTTTAAACATATTTAGTTTTTATAATAATTAAATTTACTATTAAATGATATTTATTTATATTGTATTATTAATATTTGGTCTGAATTTGACAAGTTTGTTATAAATAAACAACGTATGCTTCTATATTGTGTTAATACGTTAACAGGTAGTGTCAGGAGCAAACATATTAATTTATTGAATTTGTTTAAAATTAAAATAAACAAAAGTTTATTTTTTATTGCAAATGTATTAACTGAGTTGTGAAAAGGTTAATGATTCAGCGTTTATTTTGTGCCAAAGTATATTCGAGATGCGTTTTTATTTTTAGATTGTATTTTATTGCGTCGTGATGTTGTTGTGTGAATGATTTATGTGATATTTTTAGTGTAGAATATGAGGTGGAAATTTTTGTATTTATCAGTACATTCGTTAGTTCTGTCCAGAAAATTGGGCGACCATTAGGCTGTTGAACCTGGTTAGTTACTTTAGTCTGGTTTGGATATATATAATACCACATCTTCTTACCTACCATTCATCAATATAATAGAATAGTGTGACCATATCCTTGAAGGAGTAAAAACCGAGAGAGAAAAACAAAAGGCAGATGGTTATTCATGTTTTGTCAGTTTTCATTAGTAGTCTGTGAAGTGCGACTTAATATCATCAAACAAAGTCATCTCCCTTTTCTTATTTTTTCGTCAGGATTGTACCCCAGTGCATACCTGGCTATATTAGTTTGACTTTTCGTTAGTGAATACCCAATCCATTTCCATTTCCTTCTTTGGATGGTAATTTTATCTTCTTCTGTTTCGTTCTTCATAGTTCTGAATTCGATATTTTCTCAAGCCCATATATTTTTAGAATTTTTGTTAGTAATATATTTACAAATGTTTGCAATATTTTTGTAGTTGTCTCTTCTTCATGTTTCCGTCTCCGCATACAAGAGTCTCTTAACGTAACTTATATTTTGCTTGTTGCTTCCGATATCATGTGTTCTATATATTTTAATGTGGTAATTGTTTATTGTGTTAAATAGCAACCCCCACAGGAGAAGCTGAATGCAAATAGAACAGTAGTCAATCAATGATTCAATCTAGTTTTATTATCGGGTACTTTTTCCATGATTCAATATACAACAATTAGGAATAGTATTAGGTTAGGTTAAGTTCAATATGACTAGGTAACTACACGACCTTCGCACTTGTCTGTCAGTCTGATTTTGTTCATGTTCCTCTTAAGGCGACAGCGTCCTATTAGGAGACCTACGATAATTCGCAGTTCATTCCTATTTATATTTAGTAGATCTGTGGATCTCTTCTTCGAAGGTTCATGTATAAAAGCCTTCGAATGTTTGCAATCCATTTGTCCATGCCCGTTCCATACATTCCGATATTTTCTTTTAGCTGTGCCAGGCTAACGACAGGTTCTGGGCCTAGAAATGTTTCTTTTACCCTCCATTGGCAAATAGGTCCCTTTTTCGTTTCCTTCAATACCTATATGTCAAGGCACTCAAGGTAAACTTTCTCCGATCCCAATCAGATTCTGAAGACAGTTCTAAACTAACTTCGGGTCAATTCGATTCGATTCCAGTGCCTGTAATGTCGCCTGGCTTTCAAATATAAGTTTTATAGATCTTCCCTGCAGTTCCTCTTTATTAGTTCCTGAAAGCACATCTGTGTAGCATAAATTTCCACGTGGAAACTCTTTTATCGGTTTCAAAGCCGTCAATATATCAGTATTGATCTGGCATTGAGATTCCTTTTATTCGGTTCCATTCACCCCTTCTGGAAAAGAGGATGGTAAACGGCTTTTCGAAATTTCGAAATTATATTTAAGGTGCATTGCATCTGGTACCATTTTCAAGTCTGAGTGATTTTAAATTATCTCTCCAGATTTGATCCTGTATCCTCTTGCTCTGCTTCTTATCCGCCTTATGTATGCTGCTTCTTGGTCTCCTTCTGCATCCATATACGTAATGGAGAGAAGTCAAGCATGACCTCCATGGAGGCGGTTGGGATAGTCGACATCGCTCTTGTTGTGATTAAGAATGATTGTCGTTGAAGCGTATTCAGCTTCTCTTTGTTGGTCTTTTGTTGGCATTTAGACCACCGTATTAGTACGCCATACGTAATCATAGGTCTCTCTACAGTCATATATAGCCAGTACATCTGTTTGGGCTCCATACCCCACATCCTTCGACATGTCCAAAGGAATAGTGTTGAAGACAAAGACATATTTCTTCGATGGTCCATACTATTTCAAAATTTTTCAGATTTGTGCTCTGTATACATATTTCTAAAACGTTTATAATAGAAAGAACAAAAGGTAGTACTAGAATTTAGTTGTAAAACTAAACCACAAGAAAAACACAATATTTCTACGTTTTTGAAAAAAACTATGTCAGGTTGCATGAATCTTCTTCTGGTGCCATACTTAAGTATATGATTCCGAACGATTAAAGGACTGTTCTCACAAGTGCAGTTGGGAAACGTACTTAAAAAAAAATTATTGTAAAAAGACAATTTAGCAGCTATAACGGTATACTTGAGGATCCTAGGATTCAGAAGATGGCCAACTTCTTCTTCTTCTAGTTCCATGACCGTTATCGATCGTTGGATATCATGTTGGCTACCATATTTGCTATCGCGACTTTATTGACAGCAGTTCTAAATAACGATGTAGTTGATTTTCCATACCATTGCCTTAGATTTTTAGCCATGATGTTCTTCTTCTACCAGGACCACGATTACCTTGGATCTTTCCCTGAATGATCAGATGTAAAAGATCATATTTTTCAGGGTGTCTCATAATGTGACCGAAGTATTCCATCTTGCGTTTCTTTATTATATTGACCAGTTGTGTTGTTTGGTTCAGCCGTCTAAGGACCTCCTCATTTCTAACTCTGTCGACCCAGCTTGTTTTCAGTAGTCGTCTGTATACCCACATCTCAAAGGCTGTCAAGCGTTTAAGGATAGCCTCAGTTAGAGTCTACGCTTCCACTCCATACAGCAGGACAGGAAAGATGTAGCAAGATGGCATTGAACTCTAAGGTCAAAGCTAAGATCGTGACTGCAAAGTACGTTTCTCATTTTTACAAAGGCAGCTCGGGCTTGTTCTCTTTGGCTTTTAATTTCTGCGGTTGGATCCCAGCTCTCATTGATATTACTGCCGAGATACACGAGTTTCTCTACTCTGTCCAGTGTGGCATCTCCGACTTTTATACCGTCGTCCTGTATATAATTTTGTTTGCTAACTATCATATATTTAGTTTTGTTAACGTTGAGTTTTAATCCATACAGGCCAATACAATCCATATTTGGTGATTTTAATCCATACAATCCTAGATGGCCAACAGCAGCGCAAAAATTTGGTCAGCCCAGGCCACAGTGGTGTGTAAAAATATCTGGATTTGATCTATACGTTAATAAATATGAAATCTTTACTACAAGCGCAGATTAATATTACAGTAAAATAATTTTAAAGACTAAAAAATTATTTGAGATATCTTGCTGATATAGTTACAACTTAAAACCAGTTACCTACAACTCTTTTTCCTTAACATATTAAAAATTAAATGCTGTAATAATAATACAACAAAAAAATTGATGTAAATAAGTTGTTGTGTTTATAGTAATCATGGTTTTTTTATATTACAGGAAATGAAAGTCCAACGTTCGGCGCAAATGCAGTTTATGCAACCAACGAACCAGATTTGTCAAATGAAATTTCTGCTCCTTATGAAGTACCACAGTTCCCTATTGAACAGATTGAAAAGAAATTGGCTATTCAAAGACAATTAAATTACAAGTAAGTAAATAACTATAGAGTTATTTTTGATAATAGGAAATTTGAACGTAAATACTTTTAGTATGAACACATCTTTGGTTTTGGATAAAAAACATTTCGGAACATTTTTAAATACTGTGTATTGTTTCGGAAAGTATGTAGTATTTATTTACATTATATTACATTTAATATTTTTATTACTGTATTATAATATGATCTTATTTAATTATATACTCTAATTACTTATTTACTCTAAAAGATTACAGTATATTAGTTTCTTCCTATAGTAAACACATGGTAATATGTTTTTAAGCTCAAACAAATTTGAACGATTGTTTTGCCTACCACATAGGGTATTACTATAAGGGGTTGAAAATTGGGGACCGAAGTTATTGGGGTGGAGATAGGGCAAGCAAAACAAATCGAAACTTTTGCGGCTACTCAGGTTTTATTTGGAGAACTGGGTCGTGGAAGTGAATGACAAGGGGGACTGGACAACAAAAACACACGAAGGTTCTCAAGCTATTTAAAATAAGGACGCCGCTTATTTTATAGTTCAAAAACCTGGACTCTAACAAAAAGGAATGAAAACATGTTAGGATGTTTCGAAAGAAAAGTACTAAGGCGAATTTATGGAGCAGTGAATGACAATGGGGTGTGGAGAAGACGATACAACTTCGATTTATAGAATATACTAGGAATATTCAGATATCGTAAAACATATTAAGATAGGACGTCTTAGGTGGATAGGGCATGAAATGTGGATGGAACAAAATGACCCAGCTAGAAAAACGCTCTGGATAGACCCATTGGTCAGAGAAGAAGAGAAAGACCCAGAACAAGGTTCTTTGAACTCGATGAAGAGATGAAAATATGGGAATACGTGCATGGCGAGGAAGGCGATGGATTGGGACGACTTGAGAGAAATTCTTGAGGAGGCTAGGACCCACGCAGGGTTTTAAAGCCAGAATGATGATGAGTACAAGAGCACATATATCTATATAAAGCTTAACATATACTCAAAAATGATTTTCATAAAGATGAGCGCAGAAGTATACAACACTAACATTTGTGTTATAACTGATTTAATCATGTTGACAAATTATATAGCCAATTGCTGCAAGTCCTTGACATTACACTTTAAAAAATAATTATCAACCTATTACGTATGCAAATAAAACAAATTATATTTACAAACGTTTACATGAGGGACTAAAGGATCTCTATAATTTATCCAAATGTATTATTACCATAGCCGTAGATAGACTCGAACATAAGAAATATAAATTATTATTATTTAAATTTTGAATATGTTGTTTGTATGCGTATATTTAGGTAAAATAAATAAGAATAAGATTTACACACACAATCAATTTATTCTACCACCGAGGACTGGTTTCGCATACTATAATTTTATAAGCATCCTCAGGTCAACGATACATGGCAAACTAAATGCTGAATACAAAATAACCCATACTAGGATGATGTCTAGTACAAAATATATTGCAATTATGTGTGCAATTTTTTAACCGTAAATTCCATTGAATTAACCCTCTAATGCACACAACCGCCTTGAGGCGGACTTTGATCAATCAGATTAATATGAACGGGCGAAATTCTGGTTGCATACCTACTTAAAACTCTTACAGTAGGGAATTTGACACGTCAATTTTGACGTGTAAAATTCCCTACTCTAAATTAAAACTGTTTCGTGGATGGCTTATTTTATATAACGATGTCCGTAGTTTCATCTGTCAGAGCAGCCGAGGCGGTTAGTTATATCGGAACAAGCTAAACAACATGATCTAGCGAATTTAAATCTATTGTTTGTGAAAGTAAACACCTTCAACTTCATGTAAATGAGGTGGTATTTCGAGGCCAAAAGCAGTTTTCAGAAAAAAATTTAGAAATTAGCCACTCCGTACGAATGATTTTTTTATTTTCTTGACGACACAATGGTTGATCATGTAGTTGAGCAAACAAACTTGTACGCTCGTCAAATGATATACAGACAAAATTCAGCATCCAGTCCGACGATATTCGAAAACTTTTTGGCGTTCTTCTATATATGTCTGTTTATCGCTATCCGAATGTCCGATCATATTGGGGAAAACACTCTTTTAAGCAATTCGTCAGACTATGCTTTTGCTTCGGTTTCAATCCATACGCCGATACCTACACTATAATGATAACTCAGTAGTGTGGAAAGGAACCCTGGATACGACTCTCTGCAAAGTTCGTTCGCTATTGAAACATTTCAATGACAGGTTTCTAACAGTCCCTAGCATTCTAGGTATGTGCGTAGATAAACAATGTGCGCACAAGATCACTGGAAGTGACCTCGACAATATAGCCCAACAAGCCACATACGTGGGGCTTAAATTTTTTTTGCCTTTGTGACACTTCTGGGTTTTCGTATTCATTCGAAATTGACAATGGTGCAGGAGACAATATAATCTTGGACGACACTCCAGACTTGGGGCTGTCTCGATGTGTGGTCGCTTATCAAAGAACATTCAAATTTCGTAAATCACATTTTATACTTTGACAATTTCTATACGTCTTTGGACATGCTTACATATCTCAGAAGTAGAGAAATATACAGCTTGGGAACAGTGAGAATAAACATAGTACCCAATTGCAAATTATCGATCGACGCAGATGTTCAACAGAAGAAAGTTGTCGTGGCTATCAGAAGAAATTGTTGGTAACGCGTATGGTATAGATATTACCCTGATTGTGGAACGATACAAAATATGTACGACTTTGTCGACTTATGTTGGCGTGAAACCATTTGCATCCAGAAATGATAGCGTACAGTCCCAAAAAATTAGACGGTGGGACAAAAAAAAAGAGTTCACAATGAATCGATTGCCCACAAATGATCAAATAATATAATCGGCATATGGAAGGTGTTGATTTGATGGATGGACTGTTAGATCGGTATCGCAATTATATAAAGAACAGAAAATGGAATAATCGTATTTTTTACCAACTCATAGATGTGGCGGTGATCAACGCTTACCTACTATATCACAGGATTCATCCACAAAAAGAAAAAATTGAGTTGCCAGTGTTCAGAACACAAGTAGCTGAATCGCTCTGCTTGTGTGTCATGGCTCCAGTCAAACGACCTGTTGGCCGACCTTCCAGTTGTTCACCTAAAACCACTGCAAGAGCACCAAAGAGAGCATATCTTCAGACGGAGGACATCCGTAACGATCAAATAGGTTACTGGTGTGTATTTCGGGATCGTACTGGTAAGAAACAGTGCAAATTTCCAAAATGCATATCCGAAACCCAAGCATATTGTATAAAATGCAATTTATTTTTATGTAATTCGACACAAAAACATGTTTTCACGATTTTCATAATAAACAATAATTTCAATGTTTTTATTTGCTTAGTTTGATAATTAAAAAAAAATTAAATGCTGTTACCGTAATGCATGGTTACTGCACAAGTCCGTCTCAAGGTGGATGTCTGTTTTTTTCTTTTAGAGGTACACCTGGCAGTAATATCAATTTTTGCCTCCGTACATTTGTGTTCGTAAGTGCAAAATCTAATTTTCCTGACTTGACTTGATTTTAAAACAAATTTGCTGCATGAATTGCTGCAATATGAATCAAAGAAAGGATCTAAGCTGAATAGATGCTGTTACTTTTCATCTGTCACATATCAAGAAGGTTATTTGTAAATCAATTTAAAAGGCAGGAAAAGCTTTCCAAAAGAGTCGAAGAGGAATATGTAAGAGATAATTACAGAATCTCTTTAGATCTCGAATGTATTTTAGAATTAAGAAATTAAACCTAACACTCTAAGCAGATATAAAAAAAAATCAAATAAAATTGTAACTTAAAACCTCTTGTTTTATTTGTTTGCCGATTTTATTACATATCATTAATGGTCAATTATTTTCATCTGTTTACGTGCAACTAGACGAAGCTCGATCCCTCCTTGGGATTGGCGCCAAATATAACAAGCCAATCAAAAGAGAGCTTCTAAAATTTACGAAGGTTACCTCTCTAGGATTAAAAAGCGAAGAACACAAAAAAAAAGTTTTAAATAAAATTCACAAATTTATTTAAATTATTTTGTTCACTGTATTAGTTATTAATTTTTTTCAATCAAAATAATAAAACACCTATATTTCAATAAATCTGAAATAGTTCAATAGAAATTCTATTAATCTATAAAATGATTTTTATTGCCAATTAAAAATTAATTGTGTTCCGAGCGCCGATGTTCTTACGGGAACATTTAAAATCACTCTCATTGTGACGTCATGCGCGAACTTGAATCCCAATTTCGCACTCGGGAGTATCATACCTGTTTAATCTTTGTACCATGAGTGAAGGTGGTTACGTTTGTTTAGTACTGGACATGTCGAAAGTAGTCGATGACAAGTGAAATTTAGAAAAAGTTTCCGTATTACTTCCGTAGTTTTTCGCTTCTCGCTCACACAGAATTTCTTCGCCTAGAAATCTTCTACGGTTGCGTTCCATGTCCTTCTCTTCGCTGTGCGGCGCATTGCATCGCACAGATACGCGCGTGTATATTTAACTGCATGAAGAAAATTCGTAACAACCTTTTTCTCCGCTGAAAATAAATTATTACTAAAAATTAAACAAATCCTTATATAAGGGACAGAAAATATTGTAGTCGGGGCACTAGAATCAACTATGATAAAAATAATTACAAACAGACAACTGGAGAACGTAAGTAACAAACACCATGGTATGGCGTATAAAATTCAATCAGAAGGACAACGCAATCTAACGACTGTATCACTGATGATTAAGTTCAGCATCGACAAAGTTATAATGGAAACTTTTACGGATGTAAATGATAGATTGGAATTGGAAATGAGCTTCTATCTTTATAAGTAAAAGCACAAAATCCAGTCGACATGAGGATCTGCAAGTAGACAACCATACCTACGAATATGCCTCTACCGTTCCCTACCTTGGCTCAAAATAAACGACAGCAGCAATGTCACTCAAGAAATACAATCTCGGATT